TGATAAGATCTTTTTTTAATTTCCTATTATTATATAAACGTTATTTTTAGTGGGCAAGGGAGATAACTACGTCTATTACTTGCTAATTACAGAGCTATTTCTGTTTTAAGAAGAAAAATTAACGAAAAATCATCCTTAACTGCCTACTCTTCCATGTCAGCCAGTGGTATAACAGAGACAATACTTTGATAATAATTAATAGTAATAATTAAGATTAATGAGACTTAGCATTTGTTACTACTGATTAATATATTATGATTTAAGGTCAATATTAGTCTTAGAAAAGGTGTTTCTTAAGTTCAGTTAGTTCAAAACAAGTTTCGTCTGCTAAATTGAAGAAATACTAAAAAAAAACACTGAATTTTTGCCCTGAATTATTAGCCATTATTAAAAATTGTGAGTGATAATATGACAGTGATGATTGTTAAGATTTTTAATTAATTATTATTTCGGTTTGTTTTCACTATTTTTTTTTCTCGCCTTAAAAAGTTTAAACCGCTTGGGAACATCAAAATACTGTAACCAACCGCCAACAACCCGAAATGTTTCAGCTTTTTTAAATAACCCACAAAAAAGTGTTGAAACCGTAAAAAAATGACAGAAATCAATCAAGCAATATAGGCATTGCGATCAGAAATAATCAGTATTTCTTTAATAATTTGAAAAAAAAAAATAAAAGAAACTTCTTGTCGCAGTGCCTTCTTATTATTGTGCAAATTTTTCTTTAGGTTCTTTCTTAATCTTTCTTTACCTACCAAAGTGAAAACCTGTATTTGTTTATTTATTGCGATTTATTTTACATACATGTTCTAAGACTTGGCCCACTTGGGGATTAATATTCATTCAGTAAAAATTATTCAAACTGAAGAAAGAGCATCATTAATAAATGAAAGGTCAAAGAAATGAATTTCAAAACCGTTCATTCATTTTCATTGGATGCAAAAAAAAAAAAAAAAAAGTGACCCTTAAAAAATGATTTCACGAATTTGTTTTCTGTTTCAATTCACTGTTCCTGCTTCAGCTTACTTTTTAAAACATTTCTTTTTTTTTTCTTTCTTTCTTTTTTTTTTCCCTTACAGCTTCAGACTTTAAGAAAAATACGTAAGTCACTCACATCAAATATTATGCTTTCGTTAGGTTGAGCAAAAGAAAAATGTAACAATCAGACAAGTAAGTGAAATATAAGTTTTTTTTGTTTTATATAAAAATACAATAGTCGTATTGTTACGAGTGAAAAATAGATTAGGACTTCGGCGCTATTACACTTCCCCTGCCAATGGATAAAGTTTCGTGACAATTTGATATCAGAAGTTGAAAAAAGGCGAATCCCAAAACCTTTGAGTCCACATAAATTCCACTAGATTCACATTCAGAAATCATCCCCCTGTTGGTGAGACCATTCAGAGTCTTAAATTTAGCCTGGGCACGCTGCCACATTGCTTCAACTTGATTCGTGGTGACTCCAGTTTTTGGATCCACAAAGTTCTGAGTATGGTTGATGATAGTTTCGGGAGCGGGGGGTACGAAAGTGTAATAGCACCAGGACTTCTTAGAAGTGTCCTTCGTTTTTTTGTTTTTTTTTATTATCAACACTTCCCTATATTAAAAAAAAAATCCTCGGTGTGACTGGTAAGTGGTAAGGATTTTTGTAAAAATGCTGTTTATAAACAAAAGAAAAAAAACAATTAATAACATCAAAAAATCTCTATTTCAATTTTTACAGATTTCATTTAAAAATGCCTCCTTTGATGAACAAAAAGAAGTAAAAATATCCATATAATTCATAAAACTAAATTCAGTAACATAGTCTTTTTAGTGTACATACAGTAAGTAAAGAGTCTGTTTTAAAAAAAAAATCGTTACCGGTCACTAAACCAATATTAAAATTATAATTATTATTGGATTAGTGTTTTACTATTTATTTAAAAACAAACTATTTCATAAAGTGACATAATGTCATTTAGAATCAAGCATTGACTTCGCCGTGGTTCGAACTTACGACAACATTCGCAGTTTGATTTTTTTTTAAAAGAGCAATTCGCGTGCAAATTAGTCGTACAACGGGGGTGGGTGTAATTCGTAAAATGCGGAGCGTATTTTAAGGCAAGCTAAACATTATTACAATATGATTATTTTAAGTTAACTTAGAGCCAGTGAGTGGACATCCAGACTTTCGGTGAAACCCTCCATACTAACAAAAACACTTAATCTCATTTTAGGGGTCTTGTAAAAAATATGTGTTCATTGTACGCTGTCCAAGAAAAGATATCCCTTTTTGCAATAGAAAGTTAACGTTTGCAATATGAATTATAAGTAAAAAAAATAATAATAAAATAAAACGATGCACTTTTATTAACCAAAATATTCACCTGTTGGATAATTCTTCGTATGCCTTCTCTGGGTGCATCGTCGTAGTTATCTGGGTCGACAGAAAGAAGTTTCAAGACTGTGATCTTGCCACTTGGGGTACGACACCACACGTCTGTAAAGGTACCACCTCGATCTATTGCGAATTGGAACTTATTGGGAGTAGCAGACGACATAACCTTTCTTTGGAGCAGGCAAAAGGAGAATTTATTACTATGTGTCCGCAAAGACCGGACAGAAAAGAAATAGAGGAAAAGTACACTTTAAAAACAAAGTTCAACCCTTTCGTTCTTGTATCCGGTCGCCGGATAAGATAGGAACATTTTAGGCACTTCACCGATAAGCGGTGATTACGCTTACTCCAGCAGCGATAAGTAAAATTATGGAGGACTTGAAGAGATACAATTAATAAAATAATAAATGAAAACTCATTAATAGATTTTATTAATACACGCTCCTAATCTCCACTATTTTAACTATCTTCACAAGATCTGTATTTAAAATTGTTTCACATTTGTACAGTTTTCTAAAGTTATAAGAAACTACTCTAAAATGTTAAGGACGCAGTGAAGACAAGAAGTACAGAAAAAGACATGAAATTTGTTGGCGAATTAATGACATGTAAGAATAGAACATGAAATATTCTATATGTCTTATAGATAAATAATAAAATAAAAAGAAAACATTATTTACACCGTAAAATAATATAAGTTTATGAATTTACAATATGTGATCTCTCCAGAAATGACCGAGCTATTTATTAAATTTAATAAAGAAAAAGGCACTTTTCTCCATACCAAACTACTTCACTTGGGACATATTCATTTCAACATTCTTTCTAATTTTGCAAAACAGCCTACAAAGCTCTCTATCAGTATTTCCATCAGCTGCTTTATCACGTTCTTCTTAATCTTACCCACAGTCTGCAATCTCCTTCTTTTCAATGGTGATTTTTAGGTTTGATTCATTCATTTTCTATGGCTTATCAACCTTTTGCAGTTTATTTAAAGCCAGGAAATATTTTTAGATTGTAAGAATTTTTTTGAGACAATAACGATTTAGTGCTACAAGTCTTACTAATTTACCCATTCTTTCTAATTTAAACAGACTTACACAAATACATTATATATAAGCAAATAAATTCTAACAGACTTACACAAATACATTATATATAAGCAAATAAAATCACGCTCAGCTAAAGTGTGACAGACAGGGAATCAGTTTTTCTTTTATATTAGTTTATTGAGTTTAAAATAACAGTGACAGACAGGGAAGAAGAGGTGGATCCATACCTCTCCTAAGAGTATTTGTATGTAAGTGAATATAATGATCCCAACTGGAATTGGAACTCGGCTCTTGGATTAACAATTCTGAGCCATTATCCATTACACCATCTGCACATCCAAGCTTACAGCAACTGGTATTCCCAATCTGGGTACTGATCAGGCTCAATGTTGCTTAATTTTGGTGATTGTATGGAATCGGTGTTGCATATAAAGCAGTAATTCTTGCAAAATATAACCTTCTAGCTATTGTATCAATTTGATTCAGCAAATTTAATTTTTTTTTTTTACATTCTGCATAATTATACATTTGAAAAAGCCATTATTAATTTCAGACTTGCTTCATCTTTCATATTACTTTTACCAGTTGATTCATTGATGACAAGATAATCAAATTTCAAATCTAAATTGTTTGTCCATTTAAAATACTACACTTATTAGAAATAATTGTATTCAATTTAAATTCAGAAGAAGCCACAAAAATGATTTTTGAAAGCTGCACATTTTGGCTCATACTCTTTTCCTATTAACCAGGGGTTGTTGCTAGACAGAAAGGGAAAATAACCCTCATGACACAGATATCTGTTTCAATTTCATTGAAATTGTCTGTCTATACATTTGCATGTGTACATGTATATTTTAATTCAATAACACACCTAAAACTTATTTCTACAAAATTTTTAAAAAGACTTTAAAAAATAATTATATTTATTAATAAATAGTTTTTGAAAAATTTAATAAAATCTCATAATTATATAATTTTTTTTCCTTAGAGTTTAAAAAAATCTAGGTTTTTTTCTTGTCTCCAACTTTTATTGCTCAGCCTGATCCATGGTGGTAGGGGGAAGACAGAGTAGGAGAGGAAGGTATTGTTCCATTGTCTTATTTTAAACTCAGTCAAATTATGTGTATGTGTGCATATGTGTGTGTATGTGTATGTATGTGTGCTTGTGCATATATTAAATGGCACAAGCACATGTATGTCACTCTCACACAACAGACTTACACAAATACATTATATATAAGCAAATAAAATCACGCTCAGCTAAAGTGTGACAGACAGGGAATCAGTTCTTCTTTTATATTAGTTTATTGATTAATTCGTTTTCTATGGCTTATCAACCCTTTGCAGGTTATTTAAAGACAAAAAATATTTTTAGATTTTAAGAATTATTTTTTTTTTTTTTAGATAATAAAGATTTAGTGGTACAAGTCTTACTAATTAACCCATAGCTTGGAGAAGAAGAGGTGGATTCATATCTTTCCCAAGGGTATTTTCACATAAGTGAATACAATGAACCAAACTGGAATTGGAACTCTGCTATCTGATTACCAATTAACAATTCCAAGCTTACAGCACCTGGTATTCCCAAGAAGTCACTCATCTAGGAACTGACGAGGGTCAATGTTGCTTAACTTTGGTGATAATATGGGAACCAATGTTTCAACATGATATGACCATAAGCCTTTTATATTAGAGATTTTGTTTTTTTCTAATGAAGTTATATCAGAAGGTATCAACATTGAGAATAAAATCTAATATTTCCTAGATATCAGATTGTAATTCTAAACTCTTATCACTAATGTATACAACATGCAAGTGTAGGACAAACTAGATATTTTGATACATTACCATAGACATTGTATTGCTTATCATCAGTGGTTAAGTAAATGCTGATATGCCTAAGTGACAATTCATTTTCTTAGTTTCAAGATTCTCTTATCTGCATTTGATGAAATATTCAATTCTCATTTTTGGCACTTAGTTACTCAGCACAACTTGTGCCAGTATAAAAAGTGTCTCATAATAAATTTTTTTGCCAGCTGTTTTGCTTTGAAAGCAGCAGAGATTCTACTCTTACTGGAACATAATTTCATAGACGTATGTGCACGTGCTCTTCTACAATTTTCTTATTATTATTTACATTGTTCAGACTGTTGTCCTCATCTTTATCGCCATGCCATGTTGTACGCACTGGCCTTCTTCAGGTGATTGGAATTTTGAACTGAGCCCTTTATTTCATCCACCAGGGTAGATTGTTCTAGTTCCACATCCACTGCCTCTTATGTCATGTCTCAGTTATCTCCCTTTAGCTCAACTCTCCACGTTTTTGTTCAGACATTAAACTTACAATTCATTGGGTCAAGTCACTGAATCCAATCAATGCTTTTATTAACTGGGTCATGTGTCCTTGAGGTCATCAGTGTATGAATGTTTTGGGACTTCTTCTTCCTTCAATTTTTATAGAACTACTTCTATGTGCCATATCCCTTCAGGACATTGGCGATCATAGCTCTCTACATTTTCCTCTCCTTAATAAATCTTGTCTTTTTATTATCTCTCCTGAAGCATCCATTTACTCAAGCCCACTAGGTATTTTATTCATTTCCTCTATCCCTCTTGCCTTTAATTTGTCCTGTGAGTATCAAATTTTCTAAGCCTGCTTTTCTCATTATGTACCCTTGAAATTTCAACTGTCTCTTTCTGATGCTAAGAATAAGTGTCCTTTTTGGTTCCATGACAGAAGAAATGTCAATTTCAAATCTTCTTCTTTATACGTTGTGTCTCTTCAGGACATTGCCGATCATGGCTCTCCACATTTTCTTGTCCTTTGTTGCTCTTAATAAATTTTGTCTTTTTGTTATATCTCCTAAACTTTGTTCTGCCATCCATTTACTCCAGCTCACTAGGTAGGTTATGCATTGTTTTCCTCTGTCACTCTTGCCTTCAATATGTCCTGTGAGTATCAAATTTTCCAAGCCCTCTTTCCTTATTATGTACATTAGAAATTTCAACTGTCTCATTCTAATGTTAATTGTTTTTGTTGCTATTTTCTCAAAAACTTTGTCATTGCTCACATGTTCAGTCCATGGTATTCTCAGCATCGCTTTTTAGAACAACATTTCTCTTGCTTCAAGTCTGTTCTTCATCTGTGAGGAGATTGTCCAGCATTTACTGCCATATCAGAAGACTGATATTACGTTACAGTTCATCACTCTTTTCTTTGTTTCAAATGTAATTTTTCTGTTATTTTAATACTTTGCTTAGCTTTCAGAAGGCATCTTTCTCTACCCTAATGTGCCTTTTGGATTACAGTATTGCACTTCCCATCCTCTGTTAAAATGCTTCCCAGATATTTAAATTGTTGTACTTATTATAGGTACACAATTTAATTAATGTAATAAAAGACAGACATAATTTATGGAAGTTAACAGGTTGTGTGTTTGTGCATATTTTATGCAGGTGCATATTCATATATAAACAATTAAGAAGAAGCATACAAAAATTTGGGTTTCTACTACAGGCCATTTATTCTTTTTGTTCATAGAAACTGTAGGGAAACAAACATCTCTTGGGTATGTCCATTTTCTTTTTGGTCCAGGAGTTAGGGTAAGTTGTATTAATGGTTGAGTTCAAGTCAGCCTTGTGCAGAGTTGGAACTACCAAAGAAGGATTGTATTTACTTTATCACTGAGAGGTTTATATATGGTTATGAGGTGTCTGTTTTATTTTTCTTGGTCCAGAAGTTGGGTTAAGTAAGTATAAGCATTGTTACAATGGTTACACTCAAGTCAGCCTTGTGATGAGTTGGAACAACCAACAAGAAAGCTTGATTTGCTTCACAGGTGAAGGTTTTTACATCCGAAACTGAAAAGAGAATTCAGTTGTCAGTGGATCAGGGAAACTAACATTCCCAAGTGGGAAGGTAATTATGCTGTGGTTCTACATCTTGGAGAAAGAAAATGAGGCAAGAAAATTTTCATCTCTTTATAGAGACACATAAGGACACATAATGAAGAAAAAGGGCTTGGAGAATTTTTAGTGCTACCTAACAGGGTTTAGCAACACTAAGTGGGGTAATCCTATTTCTGATTTGTTCTTAGCATCATGGGAAAATTTTATTTATCAATTTCATTTCATTGTCCCATAAATTAAAAGGGACAAGAAGAATACTTAACTACAGCAGTTGGTAATATAAAAATAAAAAAAATGAAAAGAGTAGTGCAATAGGTGCTTGTTGAAATTGCATTGTGTTCACCAAATGCTGCGGTATGTGTATGTTAAAGTCGTCAAATGTTGTGGGCACTACTAGTTTGACTAAAAGTCATGACAACAATATTTTGCATACATGTAAATGAAAGAATAAAGAACAAATAGGAAATGTTTGTCAAACTAATATGTTCCTGCCTATACATCACACTGAAAATTGAAGTCAACAGACATGGTGGCATATTTAATAAGTACAATATGATTTAGAGATAGATGACTATGATACATCAACAGAGATGTCTGTCGTTTCCTGACATGGAACACAAGTAAATAAGCTACTAACATCGAATGAACATATAAATTTGTCATGGGAATTAAGTGGACAATTTTGTATATAATTGGCAAATGTAAATGAATATTTAATGTAATATTCTATATACCTATATGACAAAGGTTGTAATAATTCAACCATTTACTGAATTTATGTCAGATGGATCCAATTATCAACAAAATGGGACAATTTTTTTTTTAATTATTTCACCCCAAGCAAGCCAAGAAAGCTGCTATGGTACAAAGGGTTACTGAGTGTGAGAAAATAGAAAAAAAAAACATTAAGGAGAGAGAACAATAAAAGAACAGGAATTAAGACAATAAAAAATAACAATTGAATTTGTATTTAAATATTTAAAGTTAAAAAAATTTAACATAATGGGATATAGTTCTTATGAATTTTAAATGATCTATATAATCCCCACTCAGTCATACCATACTTAGTAACCCCACCCCAAAAAAAAATGTATGTGTAACAAGAAGTATAGAGTGATTCAGCAATAGGCTAATTTTTATTGATTGATTGATTTGGGGATATTTTACGGCTTATCAGCCCTTTGCAGATTATTTAAGGCCAGAAAATATTTTTAGAGTTTAATAATTTTTTTCTTTTTTATGGAGATAATAATGATTTAGTGATACAAGTCTTCCTAATTAACCCATAGTTGTGGGAGTTGAGGTGGGTTCATAACTTTCTCAAGAATAGTTATGCATAAGTGGATATTACGAACATCAAATGGAATTGGAATTCATTTTAAGTACATGGTATTTGTATTTCACACAAATATTAAGACTAAAACCAGAAACTCTTTGCAGTTACTTGACAGAGATATTCAGAACTTGACTAATCATGAAAAGAGAAAAGATGGATATAAAAATAAAAAAGATAAAAAAAATAGTGCAATATTTGTTTAAAATGAATCAAATTTATTCATTACTTATGGTCTTAATTACCCCTCTATTTCATTAGAAGACTGGCCAATAAAAACGATCTTCATCGACCTACCTGAGAGGGAGGACTTGATACTTCCCAAGAGTATTTACACGTAAGTGAATATAATGAACCCAACTGGAATTGGAACTCTGCTCTCTTGATTAATAACTCCAAGCCATTATCCATTACATCACCTGGACATTCAAGCTTACAGCACCTGGTATTCACAAGCAGTCACCCATCAAAGTACTGACCAGGCTCGATGTTGCTTAACTTCAGGGATCGTATGGGAAACAGTGTTTCAGCATGAAGTGGTCATAAGCCTAGGCTAATTTTCAAAGAATATTAAAATTTATTAATAAGTAAAAAAAATAAACACTAATAAATGTGATTACTTTGATTCCTTTAAGTGTTTTCAGTGGTATTCCCAAGTCATTTAGTACATCTTCTAATTTGACCTTGAATACTATCACCTCTTGCTACATTCAGTCAGTTATGTGCCATGTGTGATACACACTTAGGCGAACATGTATCTTTCGATATATGACTGATGAGGCAGATTTTTTCCCACAGTAGGTTGCCATTTCTTTCTGTGGTAGACTAGTTGCCATCCAATGCTATAGAACCCAGTTTATCCTGCTATTTACCCATAGCTAGGGAGAGAAGAAGAAGAAGATTCATACCTTTCCCAAGGATATTAGCACATAAGTGAATATAATGGATTCGAACTCGGCTCTCCGATTCCTCAATCTGAGCCGCTATCCAATACTCCACCATGCATACTTGCTACATTAGACCTTTTATAATGTCCCCTTCTTTTGACATGTAAATCAGGCAACCTCTCACATGCAAATAATTGTGTGTTTAATGTCTTTGTCTGTATGATTCTCTAGTGATTTCAATACCTTACAGTGAATATTTCTTTTTACATCTGGATACTCTCTCTGTCACCAATTTTTATTTATGATGATTCTGTCATTTTTCTCAACAAGCAAACATTCCCCAAAACCACCACCAAGTTCTCTTACCCACCAAAAATAGCACCATGTGTTTATCCAATCAAAATGCCATGTCGATATCTCCAACCATAAGGCAAACTTTGCTCATATGTAAATTGCCCTAGATATGGCCAGAATATTTTTTATGCATTTTTATATATAAATATTTGTGTGTGTCTGTGTCTCTGTGATATATATTCAGTGGTATTTGCAAGTCACTTAGTACCTCTACTAATGTGAGCTAAAGTACTAATGATATTTCAAGAAATTCTGAACAGTTGGATGTGCATTCCTTAGAAAGGTAAATAGAACCTTGCTGGACCGTGACACTCTCTGTGGCCAAGGGATCAGATGGTGGTTTCTCCTGCAAAGGGGGTGCACAGGGTGTTTTCTTGAGTGTGCAGTTTGATAGACATAATACACACTGTTTAAAAAACAGAACATCTATTCAAACACGAGTATCCACTAAAAATGACCTGAAGTAATTAAAATGTTGGATTAAGAATAAAATCCATTAATCTTTTCAAAAATATATACAGGTTGACAATCCCATATCTGAAAACCGAATATTTTTAGTGTGGAGTTTGATGTGCAAAAAGCTTACCTACTTGAACCATGCCACTTAGGTATGACGTGACAGCAGGTGTTATGATTGATCTGACTCTGCCCACCACTCCCACAACCTGTCTGAGCGTCCTGAGCCTGCCAAACATCAGTTGTTGTCAGGCACTTGTATTGAGCGGATGTGAGGGTGCTATTCACTGATTTTTTTTCTTTTTGTAATTTTTATGATTTTATTCAGTGAAAATGTCAAAAAGAACTGCAGATATTTTTAGTTTATTGTTTGATGCTTTTCATTTTTAAGTTCTACAAGGCATTTTTGTCTAAAATAAATAAAATTTATTCATTACTTATGGTCTTAAATATCCCTCTATTTCATTAATCAGTATATTACTCTATAAATAAACTGTAATAATATTTGTAGCTTTTTTTTTTTTATTATCTCTTATGGTATGAGTATTCATATGTTCTTGCTGTAATATTGTTTGAATTTCTGAAAACCAAAAAATATGAAAACTGAAACATCCCCCTTCTAAAATGATAAAAAAATCAATATTTCTTTATTCTGGCACTTTAAGGAATGTCCAATGAATTAAAAAAATATTTCTAAAAATATTTCTCCTTAATTTTTATTATTAGAGCATGCTACATAAGTGGTACTTATGATTTATCTCTAGCTATAAAAGGCAGGATGTGTGTGTGTGTGTGTGTGTGTGTGTGTGTGTGTGTAACAAATGCACGGCTGCAATTTTCAACGGATTTGCACCAAAATTTACATGCACATGCTCCAAGTTCGTGAGAAGGCCAAGACTGACTTTGCATTTCCCAACTCCCATCGATAGTGGAAATAATCAATTTTTTCATGCTTCTACAGCAGTTTTCATGTAATTTGCGGCCATTTTCTACTGGCCAGAGTGAGAGCCAATAGCTGGCTGCCACGAATAGGCAGGAAGATTCTATTGGCCAGTGTGAGAGCCAACAGCTGACTGACACGAATATTAACTAGCATGCTAGCATGCAAAATAATTGATAGCTGCATTCGTTACAAGTAGGAAAAATTTAAATCTGCATGGCACTTTACTCCAATTGGCTCATTCGCTTGCTTAAACTCAACGTTGATTCTGATTCTGCAGAACTGGGTTGGGTGTGAAAAGTATTTGTTGTTAACATTCTTTTTTCATTTGGTTTTTCCAGTTACGAGTCCTTTTTTAAAGCTGATCATTTTGTTTAGTTCTTTTTTCGATTTAATGTTTAGTATAGAGCTTAGAAAAAATTCGCAGAGTGAGATAGGCAAGAAGTAAGGCATGTAGCAACATCGGCATGGCAAAGGGCACTCCTTTAAAGGCAAGGAAGGGCAAAAATATTTTAAGTCAAGTGATAGCGTACAATTTTTGAATTAAGCATGGGCAATGCCGGGCCATGCTACTAGTATTTAATAAAAGGTTTTGAACATAAAAGCTTTGGCAAACATGGACCTTTGTGACCACAATAAGATGTAGTGAATAATCAAGAATGGTCTCCCCTTGTTTTTGTTACACTGAGAAAGCTATTTCTGTTTACTGGGACTATAAAAGGACACTATACGTGAACTTTGTATTCTCAGTTGAATAAAGCTTTCTTAAAACCTACATCTGTGTACTTTTGTGATTACAGTAGTGCCAAAAGTACAATTTTTCCCATGAGATCTATTTTTTTAACTATCTTCACTCTTCAACAATGTTTATTGTTTTAAAAAGTGATGATTAGAATTTTAATAAAACCTAAAAATATGATGAAAGTGAATTTATACATTTCTTTTACAATTTACAACAAAAATATTAAACACTATTTATTTATTAGTTTATTTACAAAAATAATTTTATATTTAAAACATTCTAGAAACTAATACAATTAATTAGAACTAATGCAATGCAATATTTATCATTTATCAGTTTATAAAGAAATAAATGTGAAAGAATTTCTTAATTCATAAATTTATAAAAATTTACTAAATTATTAAAATGTGTGAACCAACTATAAGGGAATCTTTATTATTTACCATTTTATAAAGTTTGAGTCAATTGGCAATTAGCCTATGTTTTGCCAACTTTTCCAATAAATAATAAATAAATAGTGTAAACAAACAATCTAATAAATAAATATAATTTATTATTTTTGTTGTAAATTCTCAAGAACAAAGACAATGCATAAATTGACTTTCATATATTTCGGTTTTATTAAATTCTAATAATCGCTTTTTAAAACAATATCATGGCCACTGGGTGAAAGTAGTTAAAATAAAAGTGATGTCAAGGGGAAAGCCGTCCTTTTGCAGGCATGAAGGTTCATGTTTGCCTACTGTGGCATCATCTACATATATATTTACTAATGATCTGAGAATGTTTCAAGGTAGATTGTTAATATAAAGCAGAAAGTTGGTAGGACTGAAGGGAGAGCCTGAATGCACATCTGCATTGATCTCATGTGCTTTAGAAGACTAGCCAATAAAAACGATCTTCATCAACCTACCTGAGAAGGAGGACTTGATACTTGTGAGTGGGAGCAAAATATTAACATGTATAAGGTAAAAAAGTAATTTATGACAAGATGGTTAATGCATTTTGTGAAAAAACAGAAAGTGTGACACACATTGTAGGTTTATATATAGACAAGTACAAATACATAGCAGAATTTTAATAGAGAGATATTAATCTGTAAAGAAAGAAAAAATTAAAATGGCTATTTCGGATGGTTGTAAAGTGAACTTGATACAGAGGAAGAGAGAAGAGGCAATTGAATAGAGATAGGACAAAACATCTCTTCTGACCGCAAGAAAATATAGAAAGAACAACGGATATTTGTACTTGAGAAATGTCATAAAAAAGACTACTTGAGAAGTAAAGAGGATTAGTGTAAGGGAGACAATCCAAATTTCCTGCCGACTGAAGTTTTATTACTGAAATGATTGTTTGGTGTATATGTTTTTGTTTTTTTGTTTAGCGGCATATCAACTCCTTATGGGTCATTTAATACCGAAATTTAATTTTCTTGAGAGCTTAGAATTTCTTTTTTACAAAAATGTACTACTAGTAATTTTTTTTTAACAAAAATGTATTGCTGATAATATATTTTTTTTCAAAAATGTATTCCTGGTATTTTTACTATAAAAATGTATTTTTATATTTTCATAGTGTTTTGACACCAGTTTGGGGGTTCACTATTTGCCCATAGCTGGGACCCTAACAGGTGCTACCACCCCAGATCAGGGTGGTCTTGAGAATAAAAGCAATTGAGTTGATTCCACGCTCCTCAAAAACTCCAATCTACTGATCAGAGGCCTTGTTTCCAGGTGTAGTTTATTGGCATACCCAGGAGGAGTGTATGTGTGTGTATGCATACATGTATACATATATATATATACATATATATATATATATATATATATATATATATATATATATATAAAAAATATATAGAAAATAGGAAAGAACTGGTTAGGTAAATAATCCAAAGTTCCTTAGTATTTTAGTTATTATTTTTAAAAAATAGTCCTCGATACAAAAGTAGAGCATAAATATAATTATTTATTTAAAAATATGATTCCAACTCACAACATAAGAGGTCTCATGTTTCAAAACAAGAGCCGAAAACTTCAATATAATTATTTGAATTAAATTGAATTAAAGTAAGCTCTGTTCCATCTTCAAGCGAAATTTTTTTGGGAATAACGTATTTCTGAAATTTACTTGTTTTAATAATTGAAATCAAAATTTCCATG